TCGGATTTTGCCACGTACAGTCGGGGCGTTGACCTAAGGAATTCTAAATAAGGAACGAGGCCCCTTTTTTCCATAAGTTAAACACTTCGATTCCCGATCGAAATCACAAGGAAAACCTGGGGCAAGCTGTGAAACACTTCAGGAACGCGGAGCCCCTCCCCAACGAAAAGCGTTCCTTCTTCAGGGCCCCGACTGTAGGCTTCGGATTTTGCCACGTACTCGACGAATTCCGAACCGTAACCCCTGAAGCCCATGGGGTTGCCTGATCGTTGATCGGCGAGGGTCGCGCTCAGATTTGACGGCGGAAGGCCTCCCAAATGGGGTCTGAGCAGATGGGGGTCGGAAGACCGCGCCGCATCGCCGATGCATTCGCGACGCCGGCGATGCATCGGCACCGTCGGCGCAGAGAAAGTCGGGCTCCACACCGAGCCGCATCGCCGACGCATCGGCGATGCGGCGCGATCCGCCGACCCCCATCTTCGTCGACTCCACGGAGAGAGTGGGGCTCGACTGCACCTCGACGCGACCGAATTCCCACACTTCCAGCGCGCAAGGGAAACGAGTACGGCCCCTTTCGCCGCGATGTCTGGAAGGCCCAGCATGCTCCCAACGCGCCGAGTTTCCGTCGCAGTGTGGGCTTAGGAGGAGGAGGAGGAGGAGGAGGAGGAGGAGGAGGAGGAGGAGGAGGAGGAGGAGGAGGAAAGACGGCCCAAGACGGAACAACTGCCGTTCGGAGCCGTCCACCGTGCGGGGCCCCCCAGAGGCCCCCAAGGCACTCCAAAGAGGACCCCGAAATCATCCGAGTGGCCATCCAAGAGACCAAAAGGACCCCAAAATCATCCAAGAGGACCCCAAAATCATCCAAGAGGACCCCAAAATCATCCAAAGAGGACCCCAAAGTCATCCAAGAGGCCCCGTGTTCACGACTCAGGCACGGTTGCAAGATGGGTGGGTCGAGCGCCACTAGATCCGCCGCCCGCGTAGCCTTCGGAAGGGTGCTCGACATGCTAAACTTCAAGGAGCGCGTTTCACGGGCGCTTGCCTTGGGAACGATCGGCGGCGCGTTTCGAACCGGGGGGTGGGCCCCCCCCAACACTCGGCGCCGTCGATCAGAACCAGCGGGACTCCCATCCGCCCTAACCCCAGGCCCTCCCGAACCCCCCCCTCCTCCTCCCCCCTCTCAGCGGGGGGGGGCGGGGTCCCGGCGCCAGCGCTGGCGCTGGCGGCCGCCAGCAGCGCCGACGGCGGGGACGCAGCGACGATGACCAGAGAGGGCCCAAGGGAAAGAGGGGGGTTCCAACCCCCCCCCCGCGCCGGCGCTGGCGCCAGCGCCGGCGCCGGCGGCGGCCAGCAGCGCCGACGGCGGGGACGCAGCGACGATGGCCAGAGAGGGCCCAGAGGCCGCAGACGGAACACACACACAAATCGCCATATCGAGCCCTCGCCCCCCAGAAGCCACCGAGAGGCCCTTAAGAAGGTCCACGAGGCTTCACACGTGCTCCTCAGACGCCCCCGCGACCCTTCTGACGATACCTCAAGAGGCACCCATTAGAACTCTGACCCAAAGCCAAAACACGATGGCGGGAAGAGCCGAAGGCCACACACACCACCACTACCACAAACCACCACACCACCACCACCACCACCACCACAAACCAATACACCACCACCACCAAAAACAACAGCCCACCTCAACCCACCACAACGACCACCACCACCACAAACCACCACACCATTTCCACCACCATCACCACCACAGCCACCACCACAACCATCACCACAACCCACAACCACCACCACAACGAACCAGCACACCACAACCACCACAACCACCTCCACCACCACCCACCATCCACCACCCACCACCTACCACCACCACCAGCACCTGTACCAGCACCTGTACCAGCACCACCACCACCAACACCACAGCCCACCACCACAACCACCACAAACCACCACGCCACCACCACCACCACAACCGCCACCACCACTACCACCACTACCACCTCAACCCACCACCACCACCACCAAACTACCACACAGCCACCACAACCACAGCCACCACCACCACCACAACAATAACTCACCACCACCACCACAACAACCCACCACCGCTACCACCACCACCACACTCTACAACACCACAACCACCATCGCCACAAACCACCACCAGTAACAGCAGCACAACCCTCCACCACCACCACCACCACCACAAACCACCATACCACCACCACAACCACCGCCACCACCACCACAACCACCACCAAAACCCACCACCAAAACCCACCACCACCACAAAAACCACCACCACCACAAACCACCACCACACCACCGCCAAGCCACCACCACCACCACCACCATCACCCACCACCACAACCACCACCACCACAACCACCGCCACCACCACCACAACCACAACCCCACCACTGCCCCCACCACTGCCACAACCCCCACCACCACAAACCACCACACCACCACCACAACCACCACCACAACCAACCACCGCCACCACCACCACAACCGCCACCACCACTACCACCACCACCACCAACCCACCACCACCACCAAACCACCACACAGCCACCACAACCACCGCCACCACCACCGCCACCACCACCACCACCCTAAGCCACCACCACCACTACCACCACCACCACCAAAAACCACCGCACCACCACCACCACCGCCACCACCACCACCACAACCTGCCACCACAACCACCGCAACAACCACAACCACCACCACCAACCACCACACCACCACCATCACCACCACAACGACCAACGCCACAACCACCACCACCACAGCCCACCACCTCCACCACCTCAGAGAGGCCCCAAGAGACGCCCAAGAGGTGCTCAGGAGGCTTCACAAATGCCCTTCAGAGGCCCCCGAGAGCCCTCCGACGAGACCCAAAGAGGCGTCCATTAGGACTCTGACCCAAAACCAAAGCGCGGTGGCGGAGCAGCGTCGTCGTCGTCGTCGTCATCGTCGTCGCCGTCGTCCTCGTCGACGCTCCCCGCCGCCGCCGCCCGCCGCCGCCTTCGCCGGCGCCGGCCCAGAAAAGGAAGCCTGCCCGCTGCCGCCGCCAGGGGGGGGGAGGGTGGGGGCCCCCCTCCTTCATGGGAGGGCGGGGGGGCGGGGGGGTCTGAACCTCCCCCGTCTCCCCTCCATCCAGGGGGAGGGGGGTCTGGTTCCACCCCCCCCCTCCAAGCGACCACAGAACGCGCTCTTTCCAAACTTCATGCAACCTGTTGGTCTTTCCACTTTGTTCCCTGGTGGGCCCTGTGATTTTCCCGTTCAGGCCCCCAGAGGGAGCCCAAGAGGGCCGTCGTCGCCACAGGAAGTCGGTCCAAGGTGGACCCTGTCGCTTCCAAGTATCTAGGCTCAATATGCATCCAAGACGGCCCAATATTGCCGCAAGGCGGCCCAAGCTGGTGTCAAGACGGCCCAGGAGGGCCCCCAAACTGCCCAATACGTCCCCCTGGCGTATCTAAGCAAACGGCCCCAAGGGAAAACCCCAAACGGCCCAGGAAGGCGCCCGACGGCTCGCGAGCGCCCCCAGACCCCAGGCACTGCACCCTTGCGAGCTGCGCGCGCTGCGCTGCATTTTGCAGTGGAGGCCAATCCACAAGAAACCTTCCACAAGAAATCCACCCCTGAGACCCCAGGACGTCTAGATTGACTTTTGGTGTGGGGAGGTCACGCTTTCCTCGGCAAGACCATCGAAGCCCAGAAAACCAAGGGCACCCTGGAGGCAGGCAGGGTGCTTCATGGCACGGGTCTCCACTGCACTGCTGCGGCTTGCTCCTCCCTTTGCTCCTGGCGAGAGGGCGGCCCTCTCGGCTCCCCTGTGCCGCCGATGCGGGCAGTACTTATATCCATATCGAGAGCGTCGTGGACTTTTTGGGAAGAGGTGCCGCGACGCCGAGGCGCACTGGATGTGGATAAAATCAAGCCTCTTGGGGCCAGATTGTTATCCACATCCAGTGCGTCTACGGCTTCTGGGGAAGAGAGCCCAAGAGTCCAAGACGCACTGGATATGGATATCACGATTGCCCGCCCGCCGAGGCTCCCCCACCCTCCCGCGGCAGCCAGGGGGCACGGCGGTGCTCCGCGGGCGGCCCGCCGGCGACGGCCGCGCGCGCTGCGGCCGAGCGGCGCCGCCGCGCTCCGCGGAGCTCGCTGGCTGCGCCACGGGCTCCCTCCTCCTCCTCCTCCTCCTCCTCCCTCCTCCTCCCTCCTCCCTCCTCCTCCTCCTCCTCCTCCTCCCTCCTCCTCCTCCTCCTCCTCCTCCTCCTCCTCCTCCTCCTCCTCCTCCTCCTCCTCCTCCTCCTCCTCCTCCTCTCCTCCTCCCTCCTCCTCCTCCTCCTCCTCCCTCCTCCTCCTCCTCCTCCTCCTCCTCCTCCTCCTCCTCCTCCTCCTGGTGGGGGGGACGGGGGAGCGGACATTGGCGACTGCTCCCCTCTCGCCCGCCGGATGCGCAGCTGCACGTCCGAGAGCGGCGCTCGAACACTGGCCACTCCAGATGGCGTGTTGACTGAAGACCCCCTTGGAACTGCAATGCGCGGGGGTACCTGGGATTGAGCAGGGTGGCCGAACACCCAAGGGTACCGAGGGCAGGCGGTGACCGAATGGCAATCAGCTGTGCCAATAAGCCCCCGCTCCCATACGAATAATGATATGGATGCGTCGGCCCAGGCGAAGGCGAACAACAAACATCCAACTGCTACCTTATTTGAACGCCACGTTGACATCTGCCAGGCCGCCTTGACAATCGCGGCAGCCGTCACCTTTGCAAACTGACTTGCATGATGTTGGCCGCCAACGGGGCACGAGGAGTGGGATGAGAAGTGGAAGCATGAGGATGAGGAGCAGGAGAGTTACTAATATTTGATTGAAATGCACAGCACAAGGATCATGGTCTTGATGATACTGATGATGCTGATGCTGATGATGATGATGATGCTGGTGATAAGACGTAAGACGATGAAGCATATGCCGATTCTATCGAGCCTTTTCAAGGACAAGGGCAGTACCTGTTTCAGCGTGCTTACCGATAATAATCGATAAGGCGAAAAACCTACGCTAACTGCGCCCCACGGCTAGCCACGCGGCTTCAGTGGATCTCAGTTGCGCATCTACGCATCATAAGCGAACGTATGACTGAGGATCAACAACCGATCGCCTAATTCCACGATTCCGTGGCTCGCTCACTGAAAGGATGTTATGGTATTGCGCTGTTCGAACTCCTCAACCATCCAAGCTGGGGTCTGTCGCGCACCGGCGGCACCACCCGACGTGGGTGACAAGGGAGAGAGTGTTTTGGGCGACGTCTCAATTGAGGACTCCGCTCCAGAGAGGGAAATTCGCCCAACGGGCCTCGCATTCGCATTGCGGAGGCCGTCGGGCTTCAAATTTGCAACAACGATCTCAAGAGTCTCGTGGATCCACTGAACTTCCTGGTGCAGCACCGCCACGTCCAGATTCTTGGCCGCTCCCCTGAGCTTCAGGCAGCCGAACATGAACTCCTCGGGGTCGAGTGCCCCAGACTTGTCCCGATCCAGGAGGAGGAAGAGCTTGCCCACCTGATCCGAGTCCACGCCCAGCTGGCTGAAATCCGCCCGTGCGCCTCTGGCGCACAGCCCGACCCGCCACCACCCGGGGAGCTGTGGCCCTTCCCTCCCCCCCCCCCCCGCGGGCACCCGTCCTGACGACAATCTCCAGGGAGGGGTCTCGAAGCCGCTCGGTCCCCCACGGGGGGAACGCATCACAGCTCCCCCAATTTTAAGAGGGTCCAGCAGCTCATTGGTGGCGAGCGAGTGGGGGAAATGAGAAGGAGGAGGCCTTCTCGGAAGTGTTCTAAGCCTTCCCTGGAGACACAAAACAACTCCCAGAAGCCGCGACGGCGTCTGAGAAATCCCGCCGCCTTCTGGGAAGGGCTTCTCCTTCTCGCTTCCCCCCCTCGCTGGCCGCTGAGTGCAGTCCCCTCGTGCTCTTGACGTTCTGCTGCGGGCCTCCTCGGGCGTCTCTCGGGGCGTCCTGGAGGCCGCAGGAGCTTCTGGAAGATTCCTGCCCCGTCGGCCTTCAGAGCGTCCTCAGGATGGCCCCAGGCTCTCCCCACGATCTCCCACGCCGCGAGAGGCACCGAGGCTCTCCCCGAGGTGGCCCCAGGAGGTCCCCCCCCGAGGGGCCCCACCAAAGGCCCCCAACGCTGCCCCGAGAGTGCTGCCCCAACGGCGGGGCCCGCGGACAGACCGCGGGGCATGGCTTGGAAGTCCGTCCTCTCCTCTCTCCAAGATGGCCCCAAGACGCCCAGCAGATCCCCATGAGGCCCCGCCAGTGGCCCAAGGGGCCTCCAAACAGGCCCCCCCCCCCCCGAAGAGGGCCTCAGGGTGCGCCCGAGCGGCCCCCAATGGGGCCAACGAAGCGCCCCAGAAGGGGCACACATCAAGAGACCACCGTAGCGCCAACCCTGCACCCCCCCCCATGAGTTCTCGGGGATCTTCTGACCCGGGTCAATCCAGACCCGTGTCAGCAGGAAACCAAAAAACTGCAATGCAGGAACAAACAACTGCAACGCAGGTCTTCGCAAACCCGGGTCAGCCAATATGCGCGGCTGCCTCGCGGCCACGAGCGGCTCGCTAACCTGGGTCAGCCAGAGGGGTCTTCGCAGGATCCTGCAGGATCCGGTGCCCTGGCTGACCCCCGTTTGCACTGACCCCCGTCTCTTATGCCCCGAAGTTCTCCATATGATGCCCCTCCGGGAACATGGCCAGAAGCGCACCATGGTCTTCAGGCGCTCCCGCTGCGCCCTGACCCCATAGGGTGGCGTGATGGGCCGGAGGCCGCCAGATAGGCCCCGATCTCGGGCTCCTGCATGCGCCCCCTGAGCTCTTCCACTGTGATGTCGCCGTCCTCATCGACGTCGAGCTCCTGGAACACCTTCCGCATGGCCTGGAGGAAGTCCCTCTTGGCCATGAGCTCGCTCTGCACCACCAGGCCTCGGTCTGTCGTGCAGCGCATCATCGTGCCTTCTATAAAGACGGCCGTGACCACGTTGAGCAGGGTTAGGAACGAGAAGCCAATGTACAGCAAGAACACCCCCCTGCTGCGGGCAAGACTTCTTACCAGATCCACGGCGTCTGTGTTTACTGTGGGCATGGATGCCAAACAACTGAGACGCAGTGGATATGGATAAAGGTCTGGCCTCGCTAGAGGCCAAGTAAGACCAGATCTTTCCCCAACTAGGCTTGCCTAAGGGGTTATTACTTGGTGTTTGAAAGGTTGGTGCCTCATACTCTTACTGTGCCCGTTCTTCCAAAGTTCCTCGGGTTCACTGGGTTCCCAGCCCCTGGTGCCTCGTATTCCTACGTTGCCCGTTCATCGGAGTTTCCTCGGATCCCCCGAGTTCCTCGGGTTCCCCGTCCCGTTTGTCCGTTGCCGCACATACATACACACACATACATTCATACGCACAGACACTACACTACACTACACTACACGGCACGACATGACACGACAAGACACCACAACACTCGACACTGAAGTAAATACATTCGTACATACGTACAAACATAACACACATACGCGCATCCATCCATACATACATGCATACACACCTACATGCACACATACATGCTTGCGTGCATCCATGCATGCATACATACACCTATACATGCATACATTCATACACACATATGTATATACACATGCAAACATGCAGACGTACGTACATGCACGCATACATACACACATTGAGTTACATACCTGCACACACGCATACATACATACATACCCACATACGTACGTACGTACAAACATACATAGTAGCACACATGCACACATACACATACACACGTACGTGCATACATTCATTCATATACACATGCGTACAAGCATACATATATATAGAGAGAGAGAGAGAGAGAGAAACGTCCATACATGCAGAAACACATACATGCATACACACAACCATAAATACATGTATTACATACATACTTACAGCCATGCGCGCATACATACAGACCCACAGTCAGTCATGACAACCTACATGCACTCATATATAGCCATGCGTCCAGACATACACAATTACACACATTGACACATACATACATACATACATACATACATACACGCGTACACTTAGACAAACAGACACGTATACGTACATTCGTACACATGCACATACATACATGCATGCAAACATACATACACACATACCGGCATACACACGTACATACATACATACATACATACATGCATGCATGCATACATACATACATACATACATGCACAATCGCATACATCCATACACATATACATCCGTACATACACACGCGTACATCCATACACATACACGAATACATACATACATACATACATAAACACATACATACATACATACATACATACATACGTACATATACACATATTTACGTACATGCATACATGCATACATACACGCATCCATTCATCCATCCATACACACATACATAAACGCACACATACATACATGCATACACACATACACACATGCATACATGAACACCTACACATACATACATACATACACACATATACACATAAATATACATGTATTTGAGTATCAGACACATACACATACTCGCATACACACATGCGCACACACACGTACATGCACACACACTTATCCACATACATACACACATGCATCAATACATGCACGCACACATTCATTTACATACTTACATACACACATACATGCATGCACATATGCATACACGTGCGTAGGTACATACACACATACACACATGCATACACACATACATGCATACGTACATGCATACATACATACATACAAGCTGCGCCTGCCCTCCAAGCTCATAGTGGATTTAGATTGCGCGGGCGCGCCGGGTTCATTTTGTCGAGTTTCCTCTGAGCTCACTTTCAAACATCCATTGGGGTCGCGCCGGGCTCACTATCAATACCGACCGCGTCTCTGGTTTCTAGGCAAGGGATGAAGGGCAACGCAAGGGAGGGACCAGCTCAAGAGGAAAAACATCGAGCTTGAATCGGCGATTCATCGCCGATGGACCGGCGATAAGACCCCGATGGCGAAACCGCACGCTTCTAGGCGGGGGTGGGCTATCAATGAGGCCCCCATCTCGCCATCGCTCGGACTTCCGTTCCCCGTGCATTGTTCGGTTTCGTGCGTGATTTTCTCTCGCAAGATGACCCAAATTGCTGCTCGATGGTCCTCGCCGAGAAAAAATGCACACGTCCGAGCGATGCCAAACTATCGGCGATCAATGGGCGACTGGGGCTCGATGCACCTCCCTCTGAACCTAACTATCCCCCCCTACAGTTGCCCCTGAAGGGAGTCTGGAAATCCGAGACGCAGCGGACGTGGGTATCAAGTCCTGCCCGCACCTGTAGCCCCAGCCGAGCGCGTCCAAGATCTGCCAGACCTCGTGCCAGTCGACGCCGCCGGACATCGCCTGGAAGAGGGTGAGCACGGCGAGGAACAGCGAGCCGAAGCGCGCCTGCAGAGGCGCTGCCGGGCCAGCGGATGCGTCCTCTCCCCCGCCTTGGACGAGGAAGGCCAGTGCCCCCTCTGACAGGACGGTGCCAAAGATGAGCAGGATCGTGAAGATCAGCAAACCAGACCACAGGAAGCCTTTGACCGCACCGGTGAGCGAGTGGATCATGATGCGCAGCTCCCTGGTGAGGAGAAAGGAGGAAGGGAGGAGGAGGGAAGGGGGAGGAGGAGGATGACGTTGCCTGAAAAAAGGGTGCTGGCGAATGACGTCCGTCACCAGCACCAGCGACAACAACCTGGCCAGACGCAATGTGGATAGCATGGCAAGGACAACCCGGAACTGCGAGTATGACCTTTGGTGTCGGTGCGAGTGCTGGCCAATGGTCTGAAACAACTGTGCGATCACAACCACGACGTGGAAATACTGCCAGCCGTGTCCGGTAGAGATGGTGGGGTCTGACAGGCCTGCTGTGCACCCCAAGAGGAGGTCTGTAACGAATATCACACAAGATATGTCCATACATGCACTCAACATCGTTGCGTCTTCGATGCCTCCTAGGCCATTGTGAATGCCAGACGTTGCGCGCTGTGCTGCGTATTGCATCTCCCACACAACAAGCACTGCATCCAGAACCATCATCATGCCCCGAGCGAGCTGGTAACCAGGATGCCTTACCAGCTTCGAGACAAGGTCCGTCGTCTTTCTCACTGAGCTGAAATCTCCAAGCTTACTTCCAGGCAGCCGCGTGGAACAACGATTAATCCATGAATGATGGCTAGACGGTAAGAGGGTGTGCATCCAACTCTTGTCCTCCTGCGTGAGGAAGGTGGTGCGTTCCTTCTGCAGCTTGCGAATCCTGGCCATCGCTTCGTCTGATCTGCCACTCTTGTTGCTCGAAACACGCTTGACGTCGCTCTCTGCGAATGTGCGGCCCGCGTCGCGGAGCCTTGCCCTCTTCGGCGAGGTGGGGTGCTGGTGGTCACGGAGCACCTGGTCCGGAACCCGGTATGCAGGTTCTGTCATTGGAGCGCGAGGTCCAGAGGACGCAGCAGGATGCTGTCGCCAGAGCTCCTTGTGCTTATCAAAGACCGCCTCCATGTCGAGCCTGAGGCACTCCAACGACTGGCGCACGCACGCAGCGTCTGCGCCTGTAGCCGGGACCCCTCCGCAGCTGCCGCACTCGTCAGCCCAGCTAACGGCAGCTGATCGCACGGGTGATGCTGCTGCCCCTTCTGCGCTTACGCCTCCAGTGGGGGATCGAGGCGATGCTGCCGTTTCTCCTGGGCCCATGCCCCTGCTCGGGAGACGGACAGACATGCAGCTGCCCCTCCTACGCTCATGCTCCTGCTGTGCTGCCTGCGTGAGCCCAAACGGGTATACATGATGGGAATGGCGCCCCTGACAACGAGGGCTGCAACGACGACGACGACGGTGATACTAGTGATGATTACGATGAAAAGCAACGAGGGAGGATGCGGGTAATGGTAATGCATATGAAGACGAAGGTGCAGATGCTGCTGCTGCTAATGCTGCTGCTGATGATAATGATGAGGATACTGACGATGCTGACCATGGTACCGACGATGACAATGCTCATGATGATCACGAAAGAACATATAAAGAACATGTTGGTGAGGATGCTGATTGTGGTGATGCTGACGATGATGACGACGATGATGACGATAATCATGATGCTACTGATGGTGATGATGCTGCTGATGATGATGATGATGATACTGACGACGGCGATGATGACGATACTGGTAATGAGGATGCTGGTGATGCTGACGATGTTGATGATGCGGATGATGATGCTGCTGCTGATGATGATGCGGGTGATGATGCGTTGTGATGATGATGATGATGATGTGATGATGATGATGGTGATGATGGTTATGGTTAATGTGATGCTGATGCTGATGATGATGATTGTGATGATGCGAATGATGATGCTGCTGCTGATGATGATGCGGGTGATGATGCGTTGTGATGATAACGATGATGATGATGACGATGAATGATGATGATGCTGATGATGATAATGATAAGTGATGAATGATGATGATGATGATGATGATGATGATGATGATGATGATGATGATGCTGATGCTGATGCTGATGATGATGCTGATGCTGATGCTGATGATGCTGATGATGATGATGATGATGATTATGATTATGATGATGATGATGATGATGATGATGATGATGATGATGATGATGATGATGATGATGATGATGATGATGATGATGATGATGATGATTACGATGATGATGCTGATGATGCTGCTGATGATGATGAGGATGACGGCCAGGAGCAGGGCCGGAAGGTGCCATGGGACCCATGGGAGGAACACAAGGAGCAAGCTGAGCAGGGCGAGAACGATGATGAGCCGAAGCGATGGGAAGTACATGGCGAACGTGAGGATGCCGATGCTCACAGTTGGAGGCCTGGAAACGGTCACCGAAACCCACACACGGTGCTTGCTGCCCCCACTGGGAGAAGATGATCCTAGATTTCGGTGTTGGTGGTAACATGTCGGCCACCTAGAAGCTCGAATATTACCACCAACACCGAGATTGGGAGCATCTTCTATCGGTGGAGGCACACCGCCGATATCGGAGCTGGTGTCAAGCTCTAGGCATCCGACACAGTGATAGAGACGATGATGCCGATGGCGGTCACGATGGCGCCAGTGCTGATAATGCATTCCATGAAGACGATGAAGAAGACGATGGTGATCACTTGGAGGCGGCCGGGGTGTCTGAACTGATTGGGACCTCAGAAAATCAGTAAGGAGGGGGGATGAAGTCAAATCAGATCAAAATCGGTTCTCGGACCTCTCCTGGCGACCATCAGGTACATCTTTCGCCCCGGATCCAATTTTGACGGTCCCAGGGCCCGCAAATGGCCCACCGATGTGGAAAAAGGCAAAGAACTATCCGAATCCAGAACCTCGAACCTGCTCGCCCTTCCTGCTGGCCAGAACCAGTGCTGGGCCACCTCGGACCCCCAGATGATTCCTAGTGATCACAGCGATCACGATGCTGGTGATGATGCCGCGGCCTTCCCGCGGGCGAGTCGGGCGTGGTGTCTCTTCCCGCTGGCCGCCCAGCGGCCCTCGGCACCTCCGCCCTCCCAGCCGCGCACGCCCCGGGCGATGAGCAATCAAAACACACCTGACCCGTTGGGAGGGGCCCTGAGTTAGGAGGGCCCGGGACATTAGGGATGAGGGGGCCTTTTTCTGCAGATGCATCAGACCGAAGCGCCCCGATCTAGGAGCCCTAATGCGGCGACGGGGACCCAAGTGAGGCCATGTCTTCATCGTGCTATTCGGGTCATGGGGTCCTCTTGATCTTAATGACTGGACCCCGCTGGCCTCCTCCGCGGCCGCTGCGCTCGACGCCATTGCCTCGACGCGTCTCGGTGCGAGCCGCAGAGCGCGCCCCGCCCGGGGCACCAGGCGCAACCTTGCCACGGCCATGCAACCCGAATTGAGCAGGGACCGACCGTTCCGGCATTACTGCAGGCCTGCCACGATGTGCTCTCAGAGCAGAGGAATGTTCTGATAGCAGACACAATGTTCTCAGAATGCGAAACCGAGGTGTTAAAACAAGACTGCCTCGGCCAGAAGTGCTCTAAAAACATTTCGTGCAAACCACAAACGAGGTTATTACAACAGTCTTTGGTGGGCCTATAGGTAAGCTGGGACGCGCCACTACTCGACCGAAACAGGGCCCAAGGGCACAGACATAAACAGGCACCATTCCAACTATTCCCCATCCTTAAACCCATTCTCTAGATGTTCCGCTTCCCTTTCATCTCCCATCTGATTTTCCCTGGGCGTGAGTGATCTGAGTGTGAGTGAGTCCGAGTGCGAGTGAACCTGGAAATGGTTGAGTGTGAGTGTGAGCGAGTCTAGGTCTGAGAGGAGTCAGAATACGAATGGGTCTGAGAATGCGTAAGTCTGAGTATGAGTGAGTCTGATTGAGAGTGAGTCTCAGTGTGGGAAGTCTGAGTGCGAGTGGGTCTGAGAATGGGCGACTGAGTCTGACTACAAGTGAATCCGAGGGTGCGTGGGCCTGAGTGTGAGTGAGTCGGAGGGTGAGTAAGTGTGAGTGTGAGTGGGTCTGAGAACGAGTGAATTTGAACATAAGTGAATTTGAGGGTGGGTGAATCCGAATGAAGTCCGAATGAGAGTTCGTCTGAGTGTGAGTGAGTCTGTGTGAGCGAGTCTAGAAGTGAGCGAGTCTAAATGTGAGCGAGTCTAATTACGAGCTGCTCTGGGTATGAGTGAGACTCGGTATGGTTGTCCGAATGTGACGAGTGAGTGTGGACAAGGACGAGGTGCTGGTGAGAGTAAGCCTGACTGCACATGCGTCTGAGTGGCCAAGCAAGAAGGGGGAGGTGAGTGAGTGAGCGAGCTCGACGGAGGCGTTTGGGCAACGCAAGCCCAGAGACCAGCCTGGGGGGGCCGAAGCACGCAGACCGCCCGAGAGACCCCCCCCCCAATCTGGGCGCGGGCGGGCCCGTGCGGTACCCCTCCGGCGGCCCCCCCCTTTGGAGTGCGGAAGCCAGCGGCGCCGAGGCTGGCAAGCCGCCAGAGACGTTCCCACAATCTGGGCGCGGACGGCCCCGTGCAAGACCCCTCGGGCGGCTCCCCCTTGGAGAGCGGAAGCCGGTGCCCTGCCTTGGACATCCTCCCAGTCTGCTCTGGAAATGCAAGATTGAAGAGGCCCCAGGACACACAAATAAATACACACAAATAAAAATAGTCCCCATGTTTTCCCATATTTTCTGGGTTTCTGTCTTTCCCCCCATTTCCCATATTTTGCAATATTTTCTGGAGAATCGAGGATTAATTGTGTCTGTGTGTTTCTTTTCCTCCAGAAAGATGTTGAACACCCGAGCAGGCCGAGCGCCCGAGGCATCCCCACAATGGGCGCGCACGGCCCCGTGCAGTATCCCTCTGGCGGCTCCTCCTTGGCGTACTGAAACCGGCGCCTCGCTTAAGACATCCTCACAATATGCCATGGGAGCAAAGGATTTTGCACATCCAAACAAGCAAGCCGCCTCGGACGTCCTCACAATACGGGTACGACCGGAGGAGTGATACAACCACTGGCGGCTCCCCCTTGGAGTGCTGAAGCCACTGCTTCGCCCGAGACATCCTCACACCATGTGTGCTTGAGTGGTTATGAGCATGCGTGAACCTGATTGAAGAAGTGGTGTGACTCAGTCTGCGTGGAAGGAAGAGAGCGTCTGAGTAGGAGAGAGTCTGAAGGAGGAAGTGATTCGACTGACTCTGAGTATGAATGAGTCTGAGTATGAGTGAGTATGAACCTGTTGTTTGCGTCTGAGTAATTCTGAGTATGAAAGAGTCTGAGTGTGATGAGCGAGTGTGAGTGTGAGTGTGAGGAAGAGGAGAATGAGGCAGGTTGGGGAGGATGAGTCGACGCGTCTGAATATTGGAGATAAGTAGAGATATTGGAGATCGTAGCTCAAGATATTGGAGATAAGTAGAGCCCCATCCTAGGATATGGGGAAGCATCGAGACACACATTTTCAGAGGCTTCGGCCTCTCGGGGCCTTTACTGGGCCTCGGGACCGTCAACAAAAACGACCTGGGATGAACAGCCGGTCCCAAGGAAGTGGTCGAGAGGTCCGGGGCCCGCGTCTCGAAAAATTCGAGACGGCGGATGCCTGGGACCAGCGCCTACAATAAAACAAAATCGGATTGAAATAGAGATTCGTGGCTCCGCGCGGGCTTCCTGGATCGGCGCGGGACCCCCATCTCTGGAGCGCGCAGCCCCTAGCGCTGCAAGGGGGTCTCGACGCCGATCCGAAAACATCCGCGTGGAGCGCTGAAAGTTTGTCCCATGTCTTTTGTGTCTTCGATGCAAGGCCCCCCTGTAATTGGGTGCGGGTCCTGGTCAATAGCCCCCCCGCCCCGTGACGCACGAGATCCCCTTGGCTGCAAGGCTGCTTCCCCAGCCCGCCAGCCCGCGACTCACAGGCGACACGAGCCGAGCGCCTGCTAGCGAACCTTTCTATAGTTGGTGCGGACACTGATGCCGGCACGCCCGCGCGCGCCCGCGCGCGCCACGACCTGGGGTCCCACTGACAAGCCAGCGGCCATTCATTTGGACGCCCGAAATGGGTACGGAAAGAATGGGCACTATGCCCAACAACAAATGTTGCCCCAAGCCAACAGCGGCCGCCGTTGGGTAGGCGGCCTTCCGTCTCGAATGGACACAGGCCGCGGCGGCGTGGACCGCGAATCCGGTTCAAAATGAACAGGGATTGCTGTTGTTGGGCATTGTGCCCATTCTTTCAGTACCCATTTCGGGCGTCCAGAATTCAGAGGGGGGGCCTTGCACTCGAACCTGGTGCCGCCGCGGGAAGATTCTTTTGTTGCCGCACGCTCGGCGACCGCGCGAGCCGGCCGGCCGCTCGGCCGTGGCGCCTGCCGACCTCCCGGGCCCTCTGTGGGGCTCTCCGGGGCCCCTCTCGGGGCAGCCTCCACGGCGAGCGCCGTCGTCCTCGCTACCCGACGGCGAGCGCCGGCGCCGGCGCCCTCGCCGTCGGGCAGCGAGGAGGACGGCGGCGAGGAGCTGCAGAGTGGAGCGCGTCAACCACATCAGGGCAGATCCATCGGACTTTGACGATGTTCGCCTCCCCGGGGGCCCCGCGCCACGCAATCCTACAACCTCTTGGGGCCGCCTCTGCTGTCTTGGGGCCGCTTGCGCCGTCTAGCGGGCCTCGTCGCCAGTCTGGAGCACCTAATTATTCGGTCTTTCAGGGCATCCTGTTGGTCTCCTGGCGCCCTCTTGAGATATCTTGGCCTCACTGACAATCCTGGCGGCAAAGCAAAACCGCCCTTGACCTCGACTCAACAATAGAGGGCGTGAACATCACCAGCCTGGACCTGCGATGCTCCTTACACTCCCTCTATGTACAGAGTCCAATTCAACTAAACGAATCGCGTGCCCCTCGGGCTTTCAGTCTTCAGGCCAGCACGGGGAGGGAAAGCGTTCTCCGCCTGAGGCGACGCGAGATCGCTGGTTGAGCCCGTGAGGTCGCTGCCGTGTCCAGTCCCCAGGCCCTCTTGGGGCTATCGTGGGTTATTTATTGGGGCCTTCTTCGGGTCATATTGGGCCGCGTAGGGCCATTTTGAAAGGTCTGGGGGGTGTCTGAAGAATTCCTGAGGCATCTTGGGGCGGTCTTTTCTACAACTTCTGGAGAGCGCGCCCCAAATCGAAAGCGCCGGCGACCGTCTCTTCGGCCGGGGCGCTGCTGAGCAGCCGGCACCCTGGCAAGATCGCGTCGACCTGTTGGACCAGAGGGCCCAGCCTGCCCGGGAGTTGGCCTGCCATCAGCTGGCCGCGGACATCTGCAAGGCGAGAAGCGGGCCCCGCTCCGATTATACAACGCTCCGCCCCGCCCAGAGTCACGAACCGCATCGCCCCGCCGTCGAAGTATGCCTGCAGGAGTAAAACCGGCAACAAGTGAGCTGCGTAAGCAAAAGTCCTGGACCAATGCTGGAAGGACGCACTGGCCATTATAGTTCTCGCCGCAGGCCACGGCGGTGCCGTCGCTCCTGAGCAGGACGGTGTGGCCCCCTCCAGCGGCAACCTGCGTGTAGGCCAGCTCCGATACTTGTGCGGGAAGGTCGCACTGACCGTTATCATTGGCGCCGCAGGCCACGACGGTGCCATCGCCTCTGAGCAGTACGGTGTGCTCCAGCCCAGCGGCAACCTGCGTGTAGGTCAGCTCTGAATTCAGCGCGGGGAGTTCGCACTGACCATCTGCATTCCAGCCGCAGGCCACGGCGGTGCCGTCGCTCCTGAGCAGGACGGTGTGTCCCCCTCCAGCGGCAACCTGTGTGTAGGTCAGCGCCATCGCTCCTGAGCAGGACGGTGTGGCCCCCTCTAGCGGCAACCTGCGTGTAGGTCAGCTCCGCGGCCGTCGCACGCAGGCCACGGCGGTGCCGTCGCTCCTGAGCAGGACGGTGTGGCCCCCTCCAGCGGCAACCTGTGTGTAGGTCAGCGCCATCGCTCCTGAGCAGGACGGTGTGGCCGCCTCTAGCGGCAACCTGCGTGTAGGTCAGCTCCGCGGCCGTCGCACGCAGGCCACGGCGGTGCCGTCGCTCCTGAGCAGGACGGTGTGGCCCCCTCCAGCGGCAACCTGCGTGTAGGTCAGGCCCGCGACCAGCGCAAGCAATGCGCACTGACCACTATCATTGGCGCCGCAGGCCACGGCGGTGCCGTCGCTCCTGAGCAGGACACTGGTACGCTCCAGCGGCGAACATCGGTGGAAATCCCGCGGCGCAGCGTCGAAGCGGCGCACGGGAACCCTGCAGGTATGAGCCCACATGGCCACGGGAAGCATCTTGGAACGGTCTTGAGCCGTCTTGGAGCCGCTGTCTTGCAGCCACCTTGGAGGGCAGCCAGAGCAATCCTTGGCCACTTCAGGGCGCCGTGGGCCCTCTTGGGAGCTCGTGTGGCAAGACGAAGCTAGGAAGAGGGTAAATTCGGGTACGGACAAATCGAGAATCTCTGAGGTCTGGCAAATCTGGGGGATGTCACGGGTGCTGCGGCCCTCTCAGAGCGTTCCGGAACGCTCTGAGAGCGCTCCAGAGAGCGTTCCGGAACGCTCTGGAACGGACATATGCTCGTCCTGGCTCCGTCCGATGTGGGCCTATTGGGCTCCCCTTGAGGCCTCGGAGGCCTCTCTTGTCTTGGATCTGTTCTGAGCTGGAGGTGCGGCGTGTGCCAAGCTCACCTCTCGGTAGGGGGGGGTGGACGCCCGAAATGGGTACGGACAAAAATGGGCACAATGCCCAATAACAAATGTTGCCCAAAACCGACCGCGGCTGCTGTTCGGGCAGGCGGCTTTCTGTCTTCAATGAACAACGTCCGCGGCGGCGCGGACAGCGAGTCCTGTTCAAAATGAACAGGAATTACTGTTGGGCATCCTACCCCATCTCTCCGTACCCATTTCGATCGTCCCGACGGGGGGGGCGAGGAGCGCAAGAGAGGACCCGCACTCCGGCAACACGGGGGGCCGGCAGTGCCTCGCCCGAGGCGCCCTCGACAGCTGCTGGCAGAGGTTTGCCACAAGGGGCCTCGGATGCGGACCGGAGCACATGTGGGGCCTCAGTCGCGCCCAGGGATGGGCGAGAAACGCCAGGAAGGGTCCTCGGATGCGGAGCGGAGCACCTCTGGAGCCTCCGTCGCGCCCCAAAGATGGGCGAGAAACGCCAGTGGGAGCCCCGCGCAAGGACCCACCAAGGGCACCGAGCCCCTGGCGAATCCAAACTCGCCCCACCGCCCACCACCTCGACGGTTTGACAGCCAGCACGGCCGAGAACCGTTGCTTGGCGCGTCGCGCCGGCGGCCCTGGCGGCGCGCCGTGCCCTGCGAGCGGATCGCGTGTCGCTCCGCCCCGCGGGGCGGGCGGGCGGGCAGAGGCTCGGGACGCTGGGCGCCTGGGACCTGGGACGTGCTCCGCGTGCCGCGCCGAAGCGTGGGGGGGCCAGAGCCAGCGGCGCGGCACGCCGGGCAAGTGCTCCTGGCCGTAGCCCCAGACGTCCTCCGGCACGTCGCTCCCGATCCGCAGCCCCAGAGGCCCCGACCCCTGATCCTCGGCGTAGTGTGCGTCCCGGGCCCTGGATGTCCCCGGGTCCCGACAATAGCGGGCCGCGGGGCCCTGAATGCGGCGGGGGGGGGGGGGTTGTTAAGGAATGTGACCGAGGGGCTTCAGACACTGGCAGATTCCTGATCTGATGAGGGCGGCACTGGTATCCATGCCCAGTCCACTGTTGAACTTCCACCAGCTTAAAGGCCCTGGATTACTGATCCAACGGTTCCTCATCCGATGCCCTCACCGTATCTGGACCCCTAACGTCTTGTTTTTTCTATACGTCGATCCCTCGAGGTTTCGACCCATTCCCAGGGGCCGTCACGGGGCCTGGCATTAGGGCGAGCATAGCATGTCCTCCTGCAGGCGGTTTTGGAATAATATAAATCGTCAGAAATTACCAAAAATACTGCATCTGAGTATTGTTGACCAAATATTTGCGAACATCGTCTGGTGACATTTTTCTCATGCTCTTTTGACAGAAGAGCACGAACGCTCGTCACCATACTATTTTTCTATTATTCTTGAATGTTCCTCCTGTAGAGAGACATGCCCTACTTAAGCCTGGCAAGGCCCACCAGAGGCGGCAAAGAGCAAAACACATCCCCCCTTGTTTGTGTTCACGACGTGAAAGGGGGGCTGGGCATCCTGCATGTCAGCACTTCGACAGCAACCGCCAAGCCGCATTGAGCTGGGGCTGCTGGGTGGTTGCTGTCGTCGCCGTCGCCGTCGCCGTCGCCGTCGCCGTCGTCGTCGTCGTCGCCGCCGTCGCCGTCGTCGTCGCCGTCGTCGTCGTCGTCGTCGTCGCCGTCGTCGTCGTCGCCGTCGTCGTCGTCGCCGTCGTCGTCGTCGCCGCCGTCGTCGTCGTCCTCGTCGTCGTCGTCGTCGTCGTCGTCGTCGTCGTCGTCGTCGTCGTCGTCGTCGTCGTCGTCGTCGTCGCGCGTCCTTCGTCCGGCGCCCGCGCGGAACGCCCAGCGCGCCAGCGCCAAAGGCGGCAGCGCCCAGCCGGCAGAGGCCAGGCGCCGCGGGCCCCGCTCGGCGCAGCGGCGCGGGGTGGGTCGGCCAGAGGTCGCGGGCGCGGGCTCCCCTCCTGAGATCCTGCTCCTCCTCCTCCTCCTCCTCCTCCTCCTCCTCACCCCTCCTTCTCCTCCTCCTCCTCCGCCTCTTCCTTCTCCCCCTCCTCCTCCCCATCCCTCCTCCTCCTCCTCCTCCTCCTCTTCCTCCTCCTCCCCTCCCCCTCCTGAGATCCTGGCGTCTCGATGTGTTCGAGTAAGACGAAGCCAGGACGAAGATAAAATTGAGAGCGTTCCGAACGCTCTGGAACGGGTTTATCCTCGTCTCGGGAGCGGCCAAGAGGGGGGTGTCCAAAAGGGGGGGTGCAAATCATGACCGGCGGCGTGTGCGCGGCCCAGCGGGGGGGCCAGGGACGTAATGAAATAAGAAGAGGCGCCATGGAACATGGGGAAATATCATGGCCCCCGCCATGATATCCACCCCCCCTAGTCATCACCCCCCTCTTTTCCGACCCCGATCGTCCTAGCCCCGGCTGAAGCCTGGCGCTGTCGCCGGGTTTCGGGCCGCGGGGCCCTCGCGGACAGCTGCGGCTAGAAGAATGGCGCAGGAATTTGGTGTCTAGGGCTCCGGCCGTGATTCCTCGCCATGTTTCCCGATCAGAGCTTGGATTCATATGGTTGGGTGAGGTTCGTCGCCGATTTCGGTGCCCAGACGGGGTGCCCGGGGGTGCCCAGAGGTGCCCGGGGGTGCCTGGAGGTGCCCGGGGATGCCAGGGTGCCCGGGTGCTCTGTCGCCGTATAGCCCTATGGCCCAATAGCCCAATAGCCCAATGGCCCAATAGCCCAATAGCCTTATAGCCATATAGTCCTATAGCCCTATAGCCCTAATAGCCCTAATAGCCCTATAGCCCTATAGCCCTATGGCCCCATAGCCCTATAGCCCGATAGCCCTATAGCCCTAACAGCCCTACGGCCCAATGGCCCTATAGCCAAATGGCCCTATGGCCCTATAGCCCTATAGCCTTATAGCCCTAAAGCCCTATGGTCCTATAGCCCTAAAACCCTACGGTCCTATAGCCCTACAAAAATTATGATTGGGCTTGTACTCCGGTATTCGGGTCCCTGGAAAGTCAGGATGGGTTTTCTGTTCCCCATCTCCTGAGGACGGGGTTCTTGTCATTCCCCATATTCCAAGGATGGGGTTCTTGTTATTATTCCGACCGCGCCGAGCACGAGAACCCCATCATTTCCTCTTCCTCTTGATGATGATGCTGCCAATGATGATTATGATGATGAGGAGGTTGACTCACGCGCAAGACGATGATGACGGGGATGATGATGATGATGATGATGCTGATGATGATGATGATGCTGACGATGATGATGCTGTTGATGACGGTGGTGACGATGGTGACGATGCTGTTGCTGATGCCGGCGATGATGATGAACGGTAACGGTGATAATGATGTTGATGTTGTTGATTATGATGATGATGATAGTGATGGCAATACTGCTGGTGCTGATGATGAACATGATGATGATGATGTTGATGTTGAAGTAACAGTGGTGGCGATAACGGTGACGATCACGATGATGCTGATTCTGCTGATGATGATGATCATGACCAGGATCAGGATGATGGTTGAGATGCTGACGATGCTGAGGATGCTGATGATGGTATGGTGATGGTGGTGGTGATGATGATGGTAGAAATGATGATGAGCATGTTGCTGACGATCATGATGATGACGCTGATGATGATGATGATGCTGATGATGATGATAATGTGGATTATGATGCTGATGCTGATGCTGATGATGCTGATGATGGTGATGGTGATGGTGGTGATGATGTTGATGATGATGCCCCAACATCCTCTGGTTTCGGAGCAGGTTTTGAGGATGTCTCTGGCGAAGCGCTGGTTTTGTTGCACCCCCAAGGGGGAAAGCCAGGGGGGTATTGCAAGGGTTTGTTCGCGCCCAGATTGTGGGGATGTCTCAGGCGGCATGCCTGCTTGCATGCCTAACATCCTCTGCTTTCGGACCAGTTTGTGAGGCTGTCTCAGGCTGGGCGCTTGTTTTCGCACCGCACGGGCCCGTTCGCGCCCAGATTATGGAAATGTCTAAAGCGGTTTGATGTTTTGCATGCCCAACATCTGCTGGTTTCGGAGCAGTTTGCGAAGATGTCTCAAGCGAGGCGCTTGTTTTCGCACCCCCAAGGGGGGGGGGGGGGGGCGCTATGGGTGTCTTACACGGGCCTGTTCGCGCCCAGATTGTCGAGATGTTTCAGGCGGTTACACCCTGGGGAATGTCTTGCGAAACACCGAGACCGGCTCCGTACTGGCTGTGATCGATCTGGGCCTCCCAGGACAGCCACATCGACCACAACCACAACCAACGTCCTCAGGTCGAGGTCGGTGGGTTCCTGAGGGGGCCTGTTAAAGAAACACACGCTTCATTGTGGTTGTGGCTCTTTCTGGCCATCGCTCGGACGTTCACTGCCTGTGTTCTTGTTCCGGCTTCGTGCATGGGCTTCTTCGCGAAATGATCAAGGAGGCTCCTCGATGGTCCTCGCCGAAGGAAGAATGCACGCGTCCGAGCGATGCCGAGCTCTGTTGTGCCTGGACGACGGAGCGACGGCGCGGCGGCGTGCCGCTGGGCCTCCGCGGCGAAGCCGCGCAGGCGCTCGCGGACCGCGGCGGCCGCCCGCCGGAGCCCGTCGGCCTCGGTCGCGCGGCGCGCCACCTCGGGGGGGGGGCCCGCCGAGGAGGGCGTCGGGGCCCCCGAAAGCGCCGGGCACTGCAGTCGGGGCGCTGACCTAAGGAGCCCGAAAGAAGGAACGAGGCCCCTTTTCTCCAGAAGTTGAACTTCG